TTTATTTTATTTGAATAAATCATCAAAACGTTAATTGATATTATATTAATATTGTCGAATAAAACGTACTTATTGATAATATTTTTGTATTAATCGTAATCTTTTTCCGTCTCTTCATCAAAAATAATGATTTAGATATTTTCCTAAGGAAAAGGAAGAAGCAGATTGAAAAAGGACAGAATATTAATGGCATCTTTCACGGCTGGGTATTTAATTAAGCCCGATTACTCCGTTCGACGAAGAGAAAGAGAGGAAAAAAAAAGTGAAGAGAGAAACAGAAAGAGAAAGAGAAACGGAGAGAAAAAGAAAGAGAGAGGTAAAGAGAGAAAAGGAAAGAAGGAAAGATAGAAAAAAGCAGTTGGTACAGGAAGCGATGAGTTTCGAGTACTTCGCGAGCAACGGAGCGTGCTTCAAGAGGCCCGTTACAGGACACAAAAGCATTGGCGTAGTCGTCACATAAAAGTTCCTTGACGAATCAAATTGGCAAAAGACGAGATTTCGCTTTGACGCCTCTGCTCGGTGCCGGTGCAACTTCTTCTCGTCGGTATTCCAAGGGATTGCAAACTATGCTGACCTTAAAAATTATCGACACGCCGACGGAAAATAATGGACAAAGACCGGTATAACGCTCACTTTCTTTTCTACTCCTCTGTCTCTCTGTCTCTCTCTCCCTCTCTCTCTCTCTCTCTCTCTCTCTCTCTCTCTCTCTCTCTCTCTCTCTCTCTCTCTCTCTTTCTCTCTCTCTCTCTCTCTCTCTCTCTCTCTCTCTCTTCTCTCTCTCTCTCTCTCTCTCTCTCTCTCTCTCTCTCTTTCTCTCTGTCTCTTTTTCTTTAACTCCATCTCTTTGGATCCCACAAATTATCCCGTAGTTTTTCACCCCAACAAGAAAATGAACGGTCGGTGTACTTGTCTCAAAAAGACCTCAGATCGATCATGATTCACCGCGATCCTCCTTGAGACTCCTGATCCACAACATGATTGAGAAAGATAAAAAATATATGACAAATTTCAAAACGCTGAAAGTAATTTTTTGGTTATAAAGACGTACGAATAACAATATCAGTAGCGGTTGAAAACATTGAGACAAATTGTACCTTTAATAAGTCAAACTTTCGCTTTTTCTGAAGCCGGCTTATCCCATTCGTCGTCAGGCGCCTTATGTCTTGAAGATTTTCACAGAAACAGTAAGATCGCCTGGAGATTACCAAGAAATATCCTGCCGCTAATGAGAAAACAAGGTAGCTCGTTGTTTATGTTTCTCACGTACTAGTAATCTCGAAGCCTTTGTTGCTTTCAGTCCCTAACGTTAAAAAAAAAAAATCGCATACTTCTTAACCACGCCAAATGAAAGACCTGCGATCATCCTTTCGCTTACTAGGTTAAACTAAGTCGTAAATACGATTTGTTAGAAAATGACTAATACTTAGGTAAAATAAAAGTATGTTTGTGTGTTGTATACATTGTGTTTGTATATATATATATATATACATATATATACATGTAAAGTAAGTATATATATATGCATTTCTGGTATATCGACGACAACAGAAAGATAAACGAAACTTAACGTTCGCTAACGTAAAAAAAATTCTCTTAGGGGACTCTATGTTTCTTTACAAGCACCGTTTTTTTTTTATTTTTTTCTTTTCTTTTTCTTTTCGAGCCCTCCAAGAGAGAGACATATTCACACGAAATCCGGTTCTACTGGTTCGAAGTTAGTTTCGAAGGCAAAGCTTAGTCGTGGTCGAGCGAGAAATCGACACTTTTACCGATTACTCCATCGCGTTACATCGCTCTCTGACGATGAGCAAGCTTATTATATGTAAAAAAAAAAAAGATCAACGAACTGATAAAATCAACGAACAATTGGTTCATGAAGTTGAAACAGCAAGACCTGAGTTCTTTAATTAAGAAACTTCATGTTTTATAAAGAATATCATTAGCATAATACTCGAATAATACACACGCACGCATAGATATATATAATTTCTATTTAAAAATGAAAATATTTGCAAGAGGATCATCGAACAATCATAAGATAAAAATTTATTTGTAAAAAGATAGTTGCTTTCTTTTTATCGTTCTCTTTTCTCTCTCCCTCGCACCGCAAATATTCACGAATAAATGAAGGGACATTAGCGGCTCTCATATTACAGGGTGCCGGGTATCCTCGAGAGGACCAAATTTATTACTTCAAATTGGTTGCAAAATACACCATAACTCTTTTCAGATTTATGAGCCCGTGCCGGCAGGCGGAACGTTGACGATACGAACGACGAGTAACTACCCTAAAGCTTTTACTATGTCCGCTGTATATGTTCACCTTATGTTGCTCGTTGTTCGAAAGACCAAGTTCGATGTCAAATCGAAGGAAAAAAAAAAGAGAAGAAAACGCACAGTAAAGATCCGCTTCTTAGGATGATTTTTATTGGCACTAACACGCTCGTCTCGAAAAACGTTGTAGCTGGTGTTATGGAAGAAATAAAGAAAAAAAAAAAAACGAAGAGACAGGACATGCCTAAATATTCATACACGATGCATCATGCGCGATATATCGATTCGTTCGAGGTATACGTCGCTTCTCTCTTGGGTTCTCGCCGAATCGAAAGTCTGAGAATAGTAGGGGCGAGTCAAGGAGGAGAGAGAAAGAGAGAGAGAGAAAGAGAGAGAGAGAGAGGAGACAACCACGGTAAAGAAAGATACAAGACGTTCACGTGCGGAGGGTTCGATTAAAAATCGAGCTCGACGTAGGAACAGAGAGGTGGAATAAATTTTCTTTAGGCTCCTCGTTAATTAGCATCCTTCGTGTTTTCGATTCAGAGTAGAGTGGCACTAAGGCCTCTAAGGCAAACGGCCCTCTTCCGTAACGATCTTAACTTTTACACGTAAGACCAGTTATGTCTCTCAGCGTAGATCGTCTTTGTTTCCGATTAATTAGAATAGCTGCTAATGCGCACAGACATCGGGATATATCCGCGTTAGAAAAAAAAAAAGATATAAGAAGAGAGAAAAGGCGAAAGGGGTAAGGGAGAGAGGGGGCGAGATACATTTCCTGTACACGCGCCATTAATTAACATTCTCTATTGTAAGTAGTATATACGTATGTGTGCGAATACAAGTACGAGTTCGTTATACGACAACAACGACACTTGTCGTTCTTTTTTTTGATCTTTCACTCATTCTCTTTGAAGCGTATTGAAAAGAAAGTATAATAGAGTATAAAAAATTAGTGTATCATAGTGATGTTATAAACTAAACTATTTCTCTATTACATAAAATTCTTTCTTAATCTAATTAACCGAATCACTCTTAGTCATGAATTAATTCAAATAATTGGAATACTAAATTCTCTTTCTTTCTCTTTCTCTCTCTCTCTCTCCCTCTCTCTCTTTCTCTTATCCTCTCTCTCTCTTTCTTTTTCCTTTTACCGTATAGAACTCGCATGTATGGATCTACCACTTGAATGATACCACAGCGGGATAGCGTTCAACATAGTAGGCGCGCATCTAATTTCTACGAACGATCAGAAGATTATGTAAATAAGAGGTGCGTGCAGAACGCAGTACGGAATAATAATTTCGAAGGAAGCGCTAAAAGTACAGGTCCACTCTCAATATACATAAATACGCATGCATGCACACGTTCAAACAACGAATATTCTCGTACTTTATTCTCGATTCGATCTCGAATATCCAGAGCTCTTTTCATACGTATTTTCTAGGGAACGCTCCTTCGCGGTCCAACGTTCTCCTACATTCGCTTTTACTATCTCAGACTCACGATCTGTAGTCACATTGTGCGTGCGTAGAAAAATTTCGAGCATGACTTTCCCCTACTGCGTGAATCGCTTTATTATTCTCGTCATAATTTCTTAACACGAGAACGAGATAGAAAAGATTTCCTTTAAAATCAAGCGAATTCTTTAAGCATAAAATGTGTCAGATGTGTCATTTATTTAATAATCATTTGTCTTCTTGTAAAAGGGAATGTAATAAAGAGGATGGATATCTCGTTTTCATAGGAAAAAAAAAAAAAAGAAAAAAAAAAGAAAAAACAAAAAAGAAAAAAAGAAAACAAACAAAACAGAAACACTTCAGACAAATTCCTCCACAAAATATAGTAAGTAAAGATAAAAGTAAACGATAATAAAAAGGATAGTGACTATGTTGTTTCCCATGAATATATGCGACGAAATATGTTATACGTTCGTGTAAGCGTGAACTTAATTGTTTCTCTCGCGTTCTTGCACGACGAAATGACCTCCTCTTCTCAACTGAATCCGTTGCCGTCCTCCTTAAAGTAAAAACACGCGGTTGTCATTTTACAGGCGCATCGATCTTTGATAAAACTTTATCGTAATTCGAAATTTGCAATGACAAATTATAATCCTTGAACAAACTGCGACATACATTGAGTGAGCGAAAGTAAAATAATGTCGATATCTCGATTAACCTTCTTAATTATGAAACATAATGAAAGGGTAATCGCTATACTTTAATATTTTACAAATGTCTCTTGTCTACATTATGATTTATAAAAAAAGATCATGAAACTATGTAATTTCTATGTCCCACATGTGCGTTCAGTAGAGCTCTTTCAAAATTACGTTTAAATTAGTAGGATTGTCGCGTACGAGCTTTCATGCTATAACGATAACGATCACGACCGATGATCGAAAACCGTAAAATTACAAGAAAACAAAGAAAGAAAGAGAGATCGATACGACGTATGTTTTTGTCATTCGAAAGTAATAAGAGATGTGTTGCAAATAGTTAAAGGTTACATTATTTATACTCTTCTACCTAATCATTAATGATTTCGGACGAAACGTGAAATCAGATTTTCCTTATAAAATTTCTTTATTATTTATTATTACATCATATACCTTGTAATCATGTAAAAAAGAAAAGACAATATCTATTATTTATATATTTGCTAAGTCGATCTTTTCATCGATAGCGTGATTATCGTGTTTGGAAACATATAAGCGTCGTATTTTAATAGAACTTTTATTTAAATCCTGATAATGTTATGATTATTGTTAGTTTACAAAAAATGAACTTAAATAGACGCGTTGATTGACTACAGCCGATTTGAATTTTCGCACGGCATAGTTAGAATCTATTACGAATCTTAAGTAATATCCTGGACGAGACGGGCAGCGGATATTACCTAGCGATTCTGAAGCTTCGCCGATGGCCAGTAATCGTTGAGAAACGCAATTTGAATAATATCCTCGACGATAATTGCTTCGATCACGAAGAACACAGTCGTTGCTTCCTATTACTCAACAATATCACCTTCATTAAAACCAATTAATCCCTTTGCCATAGCAATCTTAATCTTTTTCAATTAAACATGTTTTAGGGATTGTAAATATATCTTTTTTTTATTTTTTCATTTAAAAAATATGTATCGTCTTTTTTTTTAAGAATGACATTTTTTATGAAAATATATTATACTTATCTAAAAATAAATAAAAATCGTTTGACAATCAAAATGGACGGTATCGTTTCTTTGGAAAATTAAAATAAAATGTGCCTTCGTTTTGTATTCATTTTAAATATTAATACCTAACTACGTTAATAAGTAATGTATTAAAAAATGTTATAAAAAATGTTGATATGTCATAAATGGACGATTTTCGTAAGCATGTGATCTTATATAATATATATATAAGTATATATATATATACTTTTTGGAAAATGGACGGATTGTATTTGCATCGTATAATAATTGATATCTTAGAATACTCAATATCTTAAAATAATTAGGTATATATAACCTACGGTAGAAAAACAATTATAAAATCTATAAATAGACATCCTACGCGATGACTAACAGTCACTTGTACTTTTTACGCATATGTTAAAATCACATATGAGAGATAGTGATCTGTGAATGCGTAATATTTAAATATACTTTCGAAAAATACGAGATTCAATACCGTAATCGTAAATAAAAATTATATTACAAATTTAAATCTTTTATCTAGCGAGTACGTAAGTTAAGGCAAACATTACTAAAGCAGCAATTATAGAATGCTCTAAAGCAGCCGCTCCAGCATTGCAATCTACGATTCTTCTAGCTCTCATAAAATCTGAACCAAGATATGCGCTAAATTGTCTTTTTTCTGGTGGAATAACTATTAATTGTTGCGTTGCATCTTGAAAAATAAGATCGCTATAAGGTGGAATGCTGTAGAACATACTAAAACTAAACTCATCCGGATCCTTCCTACCATACAATTGTTGTGCATAAATAAAGAGATTTATATAGGCATTTATTTGTGTCTCGTTGTAACCATAATAACCACCACGAGTGACTATCGCATTAGCCGCAACTTTTCCTAAGTTACAATGTTCGTAATCCGTACTTGGCCGACGAGTACCATCGGGACAAAGTAATTCAAAATCTTTTGTAAATGTATTACGGGCCCAAAATTCTCTTCTTTTACCATCGGTATTTTCGGCAACCGTTGTATGCTTGACGAATGCTACATCACCACCTCCTTCAACCAAACATCTAAAAGCACCAGTATGTCCAAAGTAATCTTCCGAAGCGTCTCTTCGACAGTATCTAAAACTTTGTCCGTGACACAAGTCGCACATATTATCATATGGAACACCTGAGATTACAAAACAGACAAAGTAAACGATTAAAAAATTGATTAGAGTATCACATCAAAATGATTGTCATAGACGAATAAATCCAAAAATTTACCTGTATTATACTCGGAACTTAATGCACCTGGTACGCACGATTTTGTGAAATATTCGGCAGCTGCGCGTACGGAATTGCAACCATAGCCTCTTATCCATTGATTTGAAAGAAGGTACGCCAATGGATACACCCATCCTGCTGCAGTATTAATTCCAGTATGACACGTATATTTGTTTTTAAGATACGTTAAATCCGTATTGTCGTCTTTCTCCTTCGCAACAGCAACTACATAATAATCCGGTGTACCAAGATTATATACTTCGGATATGAAAGGAATTAATTCGAAACGCAAGCCAGCGGTATATACATCGCTAGCATCTAAGACTGTTACGTCGGCAATTCTAAAATGATTATACAATTTAACATAATATATACTTTGTTATTTTATGGATTATACTAATCATTATTTTAATTTGTTATACATACCCATTTTGTATCGCTTGCATACAATTTATTTGACTGTATCCCTTATGGCACAATAATTCTGGTTTCAAAAGTTGGGCTTTCAAAGCTATCTATAAAATAATCAGAAATATTCTAATTATACATTCTCCTTTAGACTCTTTTACAATTCGATTAATTCATTTATAATAGTAATTTAAAAGTAGTTGAAGTTACCTTCATCTTTATACATTTTTCCAATTCATAATCGGATGTAACGCACAAGGTCATTCTATTCACAGGACATTGACGTACTCCTAGAATAGAATCTAATGATCTACCTAAATATCCAGTATACGTTTGATCTTTTTCAGGCAATAATACAAAATCTTGAGCAGAATCCTTTAATCGTAGAAGACACAATGATAAGTACGTGAAGTAATTAAAAATGCGTGAAAATTATTTAAAAAAAAAAAAAATATAATTATTACCGAAAACATTAAATTATGATGAAGGCCATATTTTGGAGCCGATTCAAATAAATCAAATATTTCGATCGGTTGAATATTTGTTGTTTCAGAATAATCGTTGGATGGATAAGTATTATACGTATCATTGTATTCTCTATTCCAAGAATTCGAATTTGCATAGCCATCATCAAAACTTCTATCATATTCGTTATTTATATCCGTATTATATTCATTTCGATTATTATATATAAAATCTTTTTCTCTGTATCTATCTTCATATCCCGGTCTGTTTTCAAAATCATCTTGTCGATTGTCAAAACGATTATTATAAATATCGGTAAAATTGTGTTTTCTGTTTAATATTTTAACCGCTTTTACAAGAAATTTTTGATACAATCTTCGAATTTCTATTTTCGTTGCAGAAGATGTTACTATTGCACGAGAAGGAACAGTACCCCAATTACAATTTTTATATTCATTTACTGATTTTCGAGTTCCATCCTTACATAATAATTCGAATTGATCTTTTGTAATATTATCTAGAAAGAAAGCCAATGTAACATTAATAAGTTTTTATCTGTTGACAAAAATTTATGTGGATACTCACTGAATTCAAATGTAGATGATGTCATTTCTTGTACAGTTGTGTGAACTAAAAATGCAATCTCTCCAGCATTCACTAAGCAACGAAAAGCACCTTCATATCCTGCATAAGGATCTGCATTTGTGCATTTATCAGTTGGTGCTTTTCCAATACAAAGTTTGCATAATTGATCAGAGTTATCACCTAAAATACATAGATCATTGTTTAAGCCTTTTACTTTTATATAAATATTATTTACACTTTAGTAATATACCTAAAGGATTATATTTATCTATCAATGAGTTTACTGCACAACTTGGCCCAAAATATTTAATTGTAGATTTTACATGATTATTACAATCAATAATTTCCATTCCACCTTGCTTCATTAACTAAAACAAATATGTTAATATTATTTTTCTAATTAATTGCATAACTAAATAGATAAAATTAATTTAATATATTTTAGATATATATATATATATATATTAGGTCGGTGCGTATGAAATTCGGATTTTCTTTAAATGTGAACGTTTGTCACCCTGTTTTTGTTATGTTTTTGTTTTTGACATAACCTGGTTTATAGTTGTACTGTCCATTGCCAGAATCACATTTTAGCAAAGAAGATTTTCTCAAAAGTGTTTCCTTTTGTTATTTGCTTTGAATTTTGCACCGATATAAATTCAACCGATATTCGTATAATTTTCTTATATGAGTATAAACTTGGTAATAATGATGCAAAAGCTGCACGCAATATAAACCAGGCGTTTGGGGAGAATACTGTGAACGATCGAAAAGTGCATCGTTGGTTTGAAAAATTTCGGTCTGGTGATTTTTCCCTGCAAAATGAACCGCGTGGAAGACCCGAAATGTCTGAAAAATGATGCTCTGAAAACATTGGTGGAAACGAATCCAACTGTTTCTTCAAGGGAACTTGCTGCCAGAATGGAAGTTGACCATACAACAATATTGCGACATCTTTCTGAAATTGGCGTGGTGAAAAAAATGGATAAGTGGATACCGCATGAACTAACCGAGCGAAATAAGCTGGATTGCTTGAACGTATGCTCATCATTGTTAACTCGATTTAATCGAGATCCATTTTTCGATCGGATCATTACTTGTGATGAAAAATGGGTTCTTTACGACAATAGGAAAATGTGTGCTTGGTGGCTTGATAGGGGCTCGTGCTTGTGCTCATACTCCACGGCCATTACTTCATCCACGGAAAATTTTAATCACAGTTTGGTGGAATGTGACTGGAGTAATACAGTACTCATTCCTTCGAACTGGAATGACAATTACAGCCGAAAAGTACTGCCAGTACATTGAAGAAATGCATGAAAAATTGAAAATTATACGCCCATCACTTGTTAATCGGCATGGCCCAATAATTCTCCACGACAACGCTCGGCCGCATACATCGTACAAAACAATTGCGAAATTAAATGAATTAAAATATGAAATTTTGCAGCACCAACCTTATTCACCGGATCTTTCGCCAACTGACTTTCATTTATTTAAACATTTAGAACTGTTTTTACGGGCTAAACAGTACGAAAATGAAGAGAGTCTGAAAAATGCCGTATCAGAGTTCATTGATTCTAAAGACCAGAATTTCTTCAAGACAGGCATCTATGCATTAAAATCTCGTTGAGAAAAGTGTATTGAAATAAATGGAGCATATTTTGATTAAATAAACAGCTTTTGGAAAAAGATATGCAGTTTAATATATTCACTTAAGAATCCGACATTTCATTCGCGCCAACCTAATATATATAATATATATATATCTAAATATATATATAATATATATATATATATAGTGTAACATTTTTATAAAATTTCCTTTACCGTGTGAATAGGAATAATCCAACTGGCGAGAGTACCAACTCCTGCAAAGCATGCTTTTTTTCCTCTAAGATTTTCTAATGCTTGTACATCTGGTAAAGATCCTTTCTTAACAACAGCAACGGTATATTGATAACTAACACCATTTTCATACATTTCTTGCATGATCGGCACCAGACTATGATAACGACCTGCTATAAATACTTCTCCGGCATCTAATGTTGTCATTTCAGCTTGTTCCTGATCCAACATCGACATACATTCTTCTTTATTAAAAGCTTGTTTACATTTCACTGTAAAATAGTTCCTTCCAAAGAAAGTTATGTCACGAGCAACTGCATTCGAAAAAGCTTCGCATTTGTTTTGTTCATCATCAGAAACTGTACACCATGTCACTGTATTATTCGTATTCAATCCTGTAAATTAAGTATTCTCCTTTTATTACAAGTTTTAAAATAAATGAATACGAAATTTGTTAGTATGTTTATGGTATCTTTCACTACTTATTTATTTATATTACTAAGAATAAGAATGTTATATCCATAAATTATTATATAAATAATATAAATGACTAATATAAGCTACAAAAGTTAAACAACTTAAATTTAGGTTAATATCTAAACTTCTTTATAAAGATGAATATTTCATTAATACCATTGATACGTGTACAGATAAATATGAGGAGTACTAAAAACACGTAGCCTGTCCACATTTTGAATGGACGATATTCAACAAACGTTAACACCAAATTTTACTAGACAACGCCCATTGATACCTCTGTTGAAATTAAAGATGTTCGAGTCCAATTCGATTTTTCAGAAGATCAATTTTTTTTGTGTTAAAAGATCGATCTTTTAAATCGATTCTCTGTTTGCTCTCAAGATTCGATTCAGAATCGATTTTTTCCAGTGAATCGAACAATCCTACAATGAAGGCGTATTCGAAAAGATGACGACATTAGTAACGCAGGGTAGACAACCTGTCGTTGTTACCAACTATTACTGTTTTAGGCTCCATCTGGACTATTCTGATCGAAATTCCACTATACTGTATTTTACGTAATGTACCAGATTTTTTAATGCTATTCATGACTTTTCGGCCGAAGTATGTGTGACTTCTTCAATAATAATTATGAATAAAATATAAACTACAAAACAAGTGGAAAATGTTGTCCCTATCATGCGTTTATCGTCTCGGGTATAAGTTTGTTTGCTTATTCCCCTCTCACGCATACGTAATAATTGTTTCGTGTAAATTAGACTGAGTAGTATTAGTAGACTGTAAGCGCACATTTTTTAATCTATCATATATATATCTTTCTTTGATGGCAACATGCGTCTTGCAGTGATACGTGCTAGATAGGACATTGGTACGCATTTGTTTTACAATAAATGCATAGAAAATAATAAATATATTTGACACATATAAAAATTAGTATATAAATCTGCGACAAAAATAAGAATTTGTTCAATATCTTCTTAAAAATAATTAATAAATATTTATATATTACATTATTTTAAAACAAATTGAAACATTAATTCATTTTCACGCTATTTATGAAGTATAAGTCCCAGCGCTTTTTTTTACGTGTTTCTTCTATAGGATTAATCCAATCTAATTACTTCGACTATTACTACTACTATTACTACTACTATTGATAATAATAATAATAATAATATAATATAATAATAATAATAAAAATGTATTTAAATATTATTTATATACATCTAGATATTATTTAATAAATTTTATGTTATAATAGTAAAGACAATCAGCTTCGACTGATCATGAATAAGAAACAATGTCGAAACAAATGCATTATGATCATAAGATAGTAAGACAAAGAAAAACAATAGCGGATGAAAACAAAAGAAACGTTTTCTACTATTCTTTATATGTCATTTGTTTAGATGAACAGTCACACGTGCGTCCACTACGTAAAAGGATACATTATCCTTCGTTTCTCGCATTTCAAGATTACAAGATATTTACATTACTTTCATGCCTCAGACTACAAGTTCAGATGTTCAAAAACAATTGACTACCGCATTGTTTCCGGCACCTGTGGCGCCTCCTCGCAGTTAATATTTATTCATTGTTTTTGTGTTATACAAACCACATGTTAGTACGTGTTTTTAATCCTTTTTCGAATTACGAATACGATGGGTGATAAAAAGAAGAAGTCTAGGAGCCGGAATCGCTCTGAGGAGAGAAGTATTTCCAAGAAATTATGTATATTTGAAGAAATGATGGGAGAAATGCTGACTAGCATTGCATCATTCAGCAGACCATGCTGACGAAGGAGTTGCCGGTATCATTTAAGGAATATAATGATTTAGAGGAAAGGATTCTATAAGCTAAGAAGGTATATTTGCTCATATTTTCTTTCAGGGTTTTTCTCTTGATCCAAGAAGCCGATTTATATCATTGAATTAATATACACGAGAGTTTAATTCTTTGATAACACTTTATTCAGGCGGATAAAGATGGAATCTGTTGTATCCGGGAGATAAAATAGATTCTCATATGGTAATCTGACTTTATCTGGAAGGTAAAGAGATGATGTTTGCTTTAATTATCCGAAAGATAATTGTAAACAAACAAACAAACCATGAAAAATGAAAAATACTATTTAAATAAACAGTCACGATTTACGTTGTGTCGTGGGCTAGCCTTGAAATTATCATTTGAAGAAGGGGACCCTGTGGACCTGGTCTCAGAAAAATCATTGGAGGATACACCAAGTTTGAGAGCCACAAGGGTCCCAGGAACAATTGGTGTACTGAAAGATGTGACCAACAGTCAACATAAGATCTTGTTTGGGGCTATTGATACGAAGGCCATAATCGGTAGTTCTGAGGCTCAGATTAATGAAGGAAAGAAATACCTTGGTGCTAGTCTAAACAGCGAGGACAAGGATTTTCTGTTAAAGAAATACTCTAACTTAAAATGATTACACACACAAATTATCCTATAAAACTTTTATATTTTAACATTTTACGTATCTTTACATCTTTACGAAGATAATTTCTTAAACATTAGTCTTTGTAATTTTGTTTTGTATGATATTTCATATAACTATTGCCAAGATGGATGCTCGGCTTTTCGGGACAAGTATCACAATAGTATGTTGTTTAATGTCTTGTCGGGTAGACTTTACAATCCTTCCTAACTTCTGTTAGAATGTTATGCAGCTTTCCATTCAGGCGGATCTTTTCGGAATCGAAGGTTGAAGCTGAATTTTGATCACGTGCTTGGTGAAAATCTCCAGTCAGTTGGTAAAGTTTTTACATACCGCAAGTGATTAAGCGGTTGTTCTCTTCTCTGATGTTCAGTGGTTTTATAAAGAATATATGAATTTATTGGACAAATTTCCAGACCCCAAAAAAACAGTTTACGCCACCATTTCAAGGATTTTCTTAAGAAATAGTACGTTGAGGTATATTGATCTACACGATCGAAACCGCCCATATGTTTTATATAATTTATTATAACATTAGGTTTTTTAACGATAATTTTAATATCACTTCGTAAAATTCTTTTTACAGTGCTCATTCCTGCATTATACCAATTGGTCAAGCACATGACAACCCTCTTGTCCTTCCATGCTAAAACCAAGGTATTTCTTTATGCTACTGTCGATTTCTTGCGGAATTTTGTTTTTTTTTTATTTGATTTGGCAAATGCTTCCCATTCGTTAAGATTGTTCCTATCAAGTGGCATTTCAGTTTGAATAATTTTTCAACCAAGATAAAGCTGGTGTAATGCCGATCGGTGAACATATGATAAGCGAGAGTCATCTCTCGAATTGCGGCATTAAATCATGTGGTGAGTGAGAGTCACCTCTCGAGTGCAAAGGATTAACGGTCGTCTGTATGAATTTGTTTTCCGTTTAGTCTATGTACTAGTCCCATGGTGTTTACCAAGCTTCTGAAATCAGTCGTAAACTATTTGCGGTCGCAAGGTTTTTTATGAATGTTATATTTGAATGACATTTTATATCTCGGTAAGTCAATAGAAGAGTGCGGGGACAATCTTAAATAGACAATTGCTTTGCTCAATCGTTTAGGTTTTATCGTAAACCTTGAAAAGTCAAGGTTATTACCTGAGATTAGATGTAGATATCTAAGGTTTTTTTACTAGATTCATCCATTATGAGAGTTGAGTTACCAGAAGAAAAGAAGTTCAGATGAGTAATTTTGAAAGGAGGCGAATTTTTAAGATTCGGAATTTTGCTAAGTTGGTTGGTTCTTTGATAGCATGTTGTCCGGCTGTTGAATACAGTCTATTACATTGTAAATGGTTTGAGAGGGCTAAGCTTTGGGCCTTAAATAATAATTGAAGGGCCTTTGACGCGACGATGAAGATGCCTAATTGTATCCAAAAAGATTGTGATTGGTGGAAGAAGGTCACATCGGTTGCTAGTATCAGGGAATACAAATTCATCAGAATGATATTTTCGGATGCTTCACTGTCAGGCCGGGGAAGCTTTCTATGGTGGTGAAAATGCCAATGTATTTTGGGATCAGGCAGAGAGAGATCTCCATATCAATTACCTGGAACTGAAGACAGCGCTATTGGTTTTGAAATGTTTCGCGGTAGAGTTGCATGATATAGATCAGATAATTTTTTACAGTGTCAGCCAGTAAAATTCTCAAGTTCTTAGCCGAAAGATTTAATGATAGGGTTGGCCACAGTGCACTTAACGCTGCTAGGGCTGCTCTTTCACCGATATCTAGTGAAGACATTGCTAACAATGTTCTCGTTAGCAGATTTATCAAAGCTATGTTTAAAATGCGACTTAATCTATACAAGTCGACAAATACAAGTCGACTTGGAAAGTTGACTCGGTATTTAGTTTCACTGTTCCCATTAGATACATTGTCCTTGAGAAGGCTACCTAAGAAGCTAATAGTTCTTTTGGTGTTAGATATTGCACATAGGGCGCAGACTCTTATTTTAATAAAAATATCTAACATAGATATTTTAGAGTTGAGAGTTGAAATACGGATTTTAGACAGGATTAAGACGAGTCGACAAGTATCATAGCCGGTTTTGAAATTTCTCTTTTTCAAGGAGAGACCAGAGCTGTGCATCGTCAGGATTGTGATTGAATGTGACGAAAATATTAAGGGGGACGACTGATACCTTGTTCGTCTTTTTTCAAAAGCCACACGGTCCAGTGAAAAGCGAGACGATAAGTCGCTGGATAAAAGAAGTGTTAATATCTTTTGGAGTCGACAAGAAATTTACGGCACATTACGAGGGATACATTAACCTCCAGGCCGCATAAGAGAGGCGTGAGCCTAAAGGAGATTAAGAAGGTTGGTGGTTGATCCCACAGATCCCAAACATTTGCAATATTTTACCTATAGAGACAAATAACTTTGCGTCATTTATCTTCTAGATAACTAGATAATACATGATACTCTCTCAACAATTAAAATTTATTTTTTCTGTTTTACTTGTCATTAATATAGTTAAGAAACATTTAAAAAGCAAAAAGAAAGAAAAAAGAGATTTTTGTTTAAAATGTTAAGTCTAAAAAGCTACTCTAAATCTCGAAGTGCGAGATATAAAAGATAATTGCGATCAAACTTCAACCATCTTCGACGGGCTCGTTCAATTATCCTTCAATTATCCTTCGTGTCTCGCACGAAAGATATTCCCTCCCTACTATAACCCTAAAGTACCTAGTCTGACAGGTGAAACATAAAAAATAAGTCGGCTATAAAGAAGATAAGTATTAACTGCGAAGAGGCACTACAGGCGCCGGAAACCGTGCGGTAATCAATTATTTTTAAGCTCTGAACTTGTGATCTGAGACATGAAAGTAGAGATACTATCTTTGTAATCTCTCATGTTCGAGATACTCAAATAATTGCGTTCAAACTTCGTTCGCCTTCGGCGAGCTCGTTTGATCCTTCAATTTTTTCTTCTTTTGTTATTATGAATTACCGTCGTTATATGTCATGATGTACACAATATATTGTTTCTTCTTCTTATTACTGTTTTTATTACTATATTATTACATTACATATTATTATTATAGTAATAGTAGTAATAATAGTAATAAGATGAAATGAACTTCTACAGAGGAAACCATAACAAAACAGCGCTGAGAGAAAAATTTCATAGATAATATGAAAACGAACTCGTGTTTTAATATTTATTAAAAATAATGTATAATATATATGTTCACTAATTATTAATTTTGAAAGAATAATCGACAAATGTATCGAACAAAATTATACTGATACTAAAAACTAAAATTATATATCTTATCTAGCATAGATCACCGCGAAATTCACGTTAGCCATCAGTAGAGAAAATAAATATAAAAGATTGAATAGTAATATTAACACATTGCGTACAGGTCACGAGATATCTCGTTTTCATGTTTTTTTTGACCAAAACGATGACTTAAGCAACCAGAGATAAATATTTTTGTTACGTTACGGTAAGGAAGCCTTGCGCGTTCTTATGACGAATGACGAAATAACTGAATGTTGATATTACGAAAATGAAAAAATAGTCAGTATAGCTAGTACATCATTAGATCTGTGCCGATCGTCGTACGTACCGCACCTTATAAAGTGTTTTATTATTGTACATTTTGAAATTTTCAAGTTCGTGTTTTAATTTGTAAGGAAATAGCTTTTTAAAAATCATTTATATTTTCATTTGTTAGTGAAAATTTATAACAAACAGAAATGTGATATTTTGTTGCAAATTTGGAAAGATAAAAAAGAAGTACAAATGATTTCGAAAATTCATAAATTTGAAATGGTTAAATGTACTGGATATAAAACCATGCAGAAACCGAAATGCGTTGCAGACTATAATTTAAACATGAACGGTGTCGACCTTGCTGTTCAGTATCTATAATATTACACAATATTGAGAAAAACAATTAAATGGCCAAAAAAGGTAATATTATATCTCATCAACTGCGATCTGTTCAATGCATTCAAGATCTATAATTCGTATAATAATGAAAAAATGAAATATAAAGATTTTTTTATAAATGAAATTATTATGAAATTATAATGGAATTATAATGAAATTATGGACGACAGAAGAAAAAAAATCAACAGATACAGTTATGGATATAGGACAAAGTATTTTAAATAAAACAAATCATCTATGCGTCGATGATATAGACTCTGATAATATGAAACAGCATATACTTGAGCCAATGACGTGTAAAGGCAAGAAGTTCCCAACCAAACAATATAAAGTCTATTCGTCCAATGGAAAAAGGAGTGAAACAACTGTTGCAAATCGTGTCGAACACCATTGCACGATGGAATATGGTTTACTAGATATCACTCTAAAGGATTATTCAAGTATGTAAAATAAATAATAGTTAAAATGTAAAAAATCTTTTATAATAAATAAAAGTATAAAATATATAGTTATAATTAAGAATAATTTATATAAATATAATACCAAATGCAAATAAAAAATGTGCATATACGCATCCTACTGCTTGCGAAGCATGCTTCTGAAGCGTTCAAAAATGTGCGGGCTTTGGGAGCGCGTTGAGCGCGCAGAGCGCCGTATGCAATGTCTTAAATAAAGAGAAAAAGAGTAAATTAGTTCATTATTTTCGTTTACATCGATACAATAAAAAAAAAAAATAAATAAAACACAGGAATTATTTACCCTCCAATGTAAGATTTCCTGAATTACAAATCTAAGTGCTTACTAATGTACTACACATTGTTTATAGAATCTCTATCTTTTTAGAATATAAAATCTAAAAGGAACTACACGATTGGATACGTTTTTCCTTATTTTTACCATAGAGTTATCTTTCCAAAGTTCATTAAAATGATTGAATGAGTTACCGAGTAATCTACGTGCAAACATCGTGAAATGCATTTCTTTGCATTTGGAAATGTTCAAAAAATCTGAGTATCAGCTATGCATGCACACAACCAAGCAAGTAATCGCTACTTCACGGCATAAAACATAACTATTCAAGCGGGTATATGAAAATCAATAATGAGTACGATCTTCTTCTCTTTTGCCGCAAATTTCGAAAGGCGCCACAATACTAAACTTTTTCTTTGCGAAAAATGTCGAAAACAGCATTTTAAAGACAAGGATCTTATTTTAATTTACCGCGTATTAGTTACAAATTTTTTAAAAAGATTTTTATTTGTTCATAAAGTATTTTCGAAAAATACTATTTATTAACACGATTTTTTTCAAAGAAAATAAAGCTTTTTTAAAAATTCGAAAAAGTAGAATCTTTGATTAAAATTTTATCTTTAAAATGAGACCTTTTTCATCAAAATTGATCAAGAATTACGTCTTATTGATGGATATAGACCATTATAAAACTAGGAATCATGAATAATCTTAAAGCGCCATCTTAAGATTTTTATCAAATTACACATTAAAAATATAAGCAGCGCTGAATTTGATAGTTAATTCTTAAAATAAAAAAAAATAAAAATGCGACATTAAAATATAAAATTTTATGAAGTATTTAATAATTTTTAATTTATTATATTAAAATATTTTACAGATATATAATAAATACATATATATGCGTGTAAATCTATATATATATATATACTTTGAAGAGATTTCGTTGTACAAAATGGTAGTTATATAATTTTACTTTGGTTACACGTAGCGTGATGTTTAATATGTTTGGTAGTAGTGTATACATACTCGCATGTATACATATATAGTAAAGACATTCTAATAAGTGACGAAATGTTTATTTTGAAATTTATTATAAGAATATTGACATTATCAGATAAATTCGACAGTAACTTTATGTTATTGTTTCTTAAACTTAAAAATTGAAATTATTTAAAAGACTAATAAAAGGTTATTTTATTAGCTAAAATACGATTATAAAAGCTAATTGTAACATATCAATTTGTGGAAAATTGTACATGAAAATTGGACGTTAACTGTGAATGCAGCAAATCATCATTGAAGTAGATATACCAAATGCATCATAATAAGATTTGATAGTAATAAAAAATCAAAATCGTACAGAAACAAAATTAAAAATGCCATCAGATTTTAGACAAATTAGACGCAATGAATGGGTCACCGTAATAATATTGTTCTTTATAAATTTAATAAATTATATGGATCGTTTTACTGTTGCTGGTAATTATAAATATTCTATATGTGTATTTTTATGTTTATACATTATCTTATCTTATTTATATACATTTATGATCTGTAATATGTTTTTGTGTTTATATGATTAACTCTTATAAACATATAAACTTTTGTATATTTATAGGTATGTTACCAGAAATCAAAAATGATTTTAAAATTGGTTACGATAAGTCTGGTTTATTACAGACAGCATTTATTGTAAGTTATATGTTATTTGCACCTTTGTTTGGATACCTTGGTGATCGGCATAATCGTAAAATCCTTATGAGTATAGGTATCTTCCTATGGAGTTTAACAACATTTATTGGATCTTTTATGGCGGTAAAATATCTATACATATTTAATAATTTTAAGCCATAGTATATAAATATAAAAAAATAAAGATCTTTCTATATCTATATAAAAATCTAATATTATTTTTTTTGTAGATAAGAATATAATAATTTTACAAATTATTTATAACATTTTTTCAGTCATATGAGTGGTTTTTAATATTTAGAGCAATGGTTGGCATAGGAGAAGCTAGTTATTCAACAATTGCACCAACATTAATTAGTGATTTATTTATTAGAAACGTTCGTTCCAAAATGCTAGCATTGTTCTATTTTGCAATACCAATTGGAAGGTACTTCTTGACATATTCTTATGTAGTTATATATCAAAGCAAAATAAAATTAATACATTTTTGTCTTCTTTTTTAGTGGAATGGGCTATATAATTGGAGGAGAAATGTCAAAAGCAACAGGTTCATGGAAGTGGGGTTTGCGTGTCACACCTGCTCTAGGTATAATAGCGATTATTCTACTGATCTGTGGAGTAAGAGAACCTATTAGAGGTGAAAGAGAAGGTGGTATACATATTACTAATACCGGATGGTTACAAGATATCAGAGCTTTAATAAAAAAGTAAGTTAATGATGGAAATTCAGAATATTTTTATTCTTTATCAAATTAATTAAGTAAGGTGATTGTTTATCTATAATACCTTTTTTAGTCGAAGTTTTACACTTTCTACAGCTGGGTTTACATGTGTATCATTTGTTGCTGGTGCACTATCTTGGTGGGCCCCGACATATTTACAATTAGGATTTAAATTAATTGGATCTGATGTGAATACACTTGAGTAAGATAGAAAAGGTGTATCTTTAAATTATTAATATATTTTCTGATTTATTATATGTATATATTTTCAGTGTGGATTATAAATTTGGATTGATAGCAATGGTATCTGGCTTAATAGGAGTACCTTTAGGGTCTTTCTTAGCACAAAAATTTAGAGTGTATTGGTCATCTACTGATCCATTGATATGTGGTGCAGGTTTATTAATAAGTGCTCCATTAATATTTTTTTCCATAATTACCGCTGATACAAATACTACTGTTTGTTTTATATTAATATTTCTTGGACAAGTAGCTTTAAATTTAAATTGGGCTATTGTAGCAGATATATTACTTGTGAGTATTATATTGCAGATTATATTTAAATTTTGAATTATTTAACATGTATTGCAGTTTATTAAAAAGATTATGTAATAAAATTTTTCAGTATGTAGTAATACCAACTAGAAGATCTTCAGCAGAAGCTTTCCAAATATCACTTGCTCATGCCTTTGGAGATGCTGGAAGTCCTTATCTTATAGGTCTAGTAAGTAAAGATATGTTTTTCTGTTATATTTATTTATTTATTAAAAATTTATTAATTTAAACTTCTTTTCAGTTATCAGAAGCACTCAAATTTGTAGTTTTACCAAGTTTGAGTTTAGGTGGTTCTACTATTAGTGTTTACAGTGATATTGTAGAATTCCGTAGTTTACAATATGCACTATTCGTTACTGTTTTTGTACAAATCCTTGGAGCTTTGTTCTTCTTTTTCTCAGCGCTATACATAGAGAAAGACAAAGCATTAGTTGAACTTGCTATTACAGGTAAGTAAAAATATTTCTTAAATTTTGTATTATTTTACTATATCTATATATATATATATCTTTCTCTATTGTCTTTGGTATAAAGTTTATTGCATATTCTATTTAATTTCATTATTGGAGAGTTATGAACTCGTATTTGAATTATAATAACAGAATGAACAAAATATTTTCTTAACGATGTATGTTTTTTATGCATTTATAATCTTTTATATTATAGTTATTTGATCTCTATTTATGATTAATTATAATTTTCTAAGCATTATAGTATGTTGCATGCAAATTATAGTGTTTATATTGTTTTATTTTAAGTAAGTCAATATAATTTGAGCTATTGTATGTGCATGACTTAGATTAATTTATTCTTTTTAGCTACCAGTACTTCAGGCATGATGGCACCTATTAATGTATTAGAAAAGTAGCAGTTTATATATTGTAATATTATAAATGAAAATGATGGCAATATCATATTGTTTTATGCTAACATTGGTTTGTTAATTATAGCTTATTAATATTATTAATATTACTAATATTACTAATATTTGAATAAGCAGTCATCATCATTTACTTTCATATAAAATAACATATTTCTTTTTTATTATTATTACAATATTTTTTCATTATAACAAATTCATTTATAATTGTATAAGTTAAACATTTCTTAATCATTTATTAGAGTCATAACACGAATTTATATTAACTTAAGTATAGAAACAAACATAAACATGTACAAACAATTACAAATATAATAGTCTAATAATACATGTAACAAATTACAGATACAGCAGATGATGGTGCTTATATATTGCTTTATTGTTTTTAGCTGATATATTACATTTATCCTGCACTGTTAAAAAGTAGAATGTGCATGACATTATTTTGTGTAACATGCAAACATCTTTCTTGCAGACAAATATCTAGATACTAAGAATAATGGGCAACCTGCATCGACACGTTTATAGATCATCATCTGATAATGGGCCACATCTGATAATAGCTATATATCTGGTACATAATTTATTTTCACAATTTTTTCTTTATTTTATTGAACATGATAATCAATTTAATTTTTGTGCATATTGTCTTTCATAAATAAGATCAATTTAGTAATAACTTTCGAAGAAGAAATTTTTTTATATTATTTTTATGATATTATAACTATTTGATAAGATGTAAATAATTTTTATATGCCATGGATATATAGCGTTTTTTATAATTTTGTTATGAAAAATAATTACATAACATATATTTATAACATAATACAATAATTAATACAATATTTTAAATATTTATATATTAAGATAAATATAAAATATTTTTTTTTTAAACTTTACGCGGATAGATAATACTTATCTATAAACACTTGAGCAGTGCATTCTCCATATGAAACCATTATATTATAAACCGATAAGTACAATTAAAACTTGCCAATTTCCTTATGCAAAAAGAAATTCCTCTTATTAATATATTCTAACTTCGATTAAGAAATAAATAAATAATTATCTAGGATAGTACCATAAAGATTTTACTTACACAATTTGTTTTTTATATGAAAAAAGAAAGTTTAAAATAGTTTAAAATTTGTAATGCTAATACAAAAGATGCAGCTTTAATGTTGTTAGTAAAAGTTAAATAAGAAAAATGTTTGAATGCTACTATCTATTCAATTAAATTGATTATCAGTTCAGTTTATTTTATTTTTTATTTTTTATTTTTATTTTTATTATATTTATTAATCATATTAATATAATTAATTTTTTATTTATATTTTGTTTTGAATATTATGCATACATTTCATTTAAATTTTGTACATTACTTTAATACTCGATTTGGAATGATACAGCATGGGAAGCTTTGATGGGAACTAACATTTCATGATGCTTTTCATTTATTATAAGTTACATTTAAATTACACTATATTACTTATGTCATGCAAATTATGATCAAAGTGATAAATAATTTATTACTGATGTGTTGGTGATCATGCTATATAAAATTTTAGTTCATTTACTCAAACACATATATATTTTAGTAATATATATATACTGAAACATAATATTGCATCTACGTGTGTGTATGTTTTATTCTGTTGTGTGAAACATTGAATAAGTTTGATTGTGTGTATTTAGATAGTTTATTTAAATGCATTATTTTTTGTTTCATAAACATTACTTTTACAAAATGTACATATGTGTATAGTTTAAAAAGTAATGCTTTAATTATATTGCATTTTGTTTATGCATGCAATTAATATTGAAAAATAGTAAAATTAAAGAGCAAATAAAAAGAAAGAAACCAGATCTATAGGTAAATAGCTTGTTCTCGTTGAAATTATTAAATTATTTAAAACAGTATATCTAACATTAGTTTCTTAATTTCCAAATATATTTGAAAAAATATAACATGTATTTTTAAGATGGTATTATTGTTTAACAATCTATAAAATTATAATATTTTTGTATTTACTCTTTCTAGGTTGATTAAAATTAAAATTATTGATTCTTATCGATGGATTATATCATATGTTTTAGGTGGAAGTGTTTCAGATTCGGTTCATATATATAATGATGAAACTGAAAGTGAATCCCAAGATGATACATTTGGGACATAATTAATCATTTCAAATGGGTATGGTAAAGTTAAATATACAGAAAAGATATTGATAAAGAAAAACTAAAAAAGAGCAGCAATTATATGCTCAGGGATGATTCAACAAAATTCGACAATTTGAAAAAACAGTAAGATTTTATCAAATTGTTTACGATATAGAGTGAGTTTAAGCAAGAATGCTTATAAGGGATATCGACTGTGTTCAAATATCGTTTAAAAGAGAAAAGATTATTTTAAGTCAATTGTTATAAAAATAGTAACTCTTGAAAAAGGATATGCAATCAACTATACACTCATGTTGCAGATACTATTTATATTTTTATATTAGTCCCTAGATTAATAAAAAGTTAGTGCTATTAAGTATTAATGCTAAAAACATAACTACTAATAATATTAATGTCAAACTAACCATAATGAGAATATATAATTAACATTAGTTACCAACTATATAGTATATTATTAACTCTATGTACTTATTTTGGCACTAAAGTTTCCCTTTTTATCTTTATTGATATAAAAGGTGCTGCTTTTGACAAATAAACTAGATAGGAGTTAATATATAATTACTTATTAATGCTTAGATTATTTATCTTTAGAATTAGTATAATTATTAATTATAATCTAATTTAAAAATAATACTTTCAGTTTTAGGACATTTTTATATAAATATATATTATATATATGTATATATATATATATAGTTTATTATATATATGTATATATATATATTGTATCCATTAGTTTAGTATAAGTATTTTTATCATATGATCATTTAGCTAACATGATGAAATATGTTAATATAATATGAAGGTTTAAACATTAGTAATACATTATTAATGATTTTCATCATTTAATGTAGCAATCTTAATATGGTACTTATAATTTGTTCTTATTAAAAATATTAAAATATTAAACAACATAAAATTAATTTTTAATATATTAAATATTATATTTTCTAAAAGTAAAGTATGGAATATGATTGTAGATGCCAAATTATTAAAAATGTATATGAACATTTTTATTTGTATGTATTTACAAATATGTAAGATACTTTTTTATAGATAATCAAAACTTTTTTTTACTAATAATGAGAACGATAACGAATATCTCTAGATAATATCATTTATAGAAGCAATTATTATTAAGATTGTATTACTACATTTATAAGTTACATGCAATTACGTTAGTATTTACGATGGTGGGAATTAAACATGTTCGGTACTCTCCGTGTTAAACGTTGAGCATTTAAGATTACTTCATTAGTAGACCGTCCAAGAATATTATCTGAATAATATATTATTGAATTATGCAATTATTAATCTTTATTAACCTATAATTGATTTATTTAAAAAATTAATAATGTATCATACTAATATTACAATAAAATATTACTTCCAATTAAACGATATATTTTTTAGATTGTATTTTTATCCATAATTAAAATATTCTGCATTTAATGTTTTATGAGATAGAAATTTAATCTTACAAAAAATAAATGATCCACTTGATTTAGTCGATTAAAGCAATTTTCAATTATCTTCTACTTGAATTCCGTTATATCTTTCTTCAATGTAACATATCGGTAATGGTAAATATAAGAGACTAAGATCTTGTTGATAATGTTAATATTTATTCAAGATAAGTAAGAATATCTTGCAAGATTCTCATAAATGAATACAAAATGTTATAAGCATTTTAGTTTGAATCGTGCTATCTACTATCCTTTATCGTTAGTCAAAACAGTTCAAAGATTCATATTGAGCTATCATATTGATATATGTATGAGTGAATAAGAATTGTTATTAAAAAATGTATTCACATTAATACATATCATTTTTGTGCGTATATGAATTTAAATACATACATAGAATTAAATATGTGATATAAAAAGTAGAGAAATATTTTTAATAATTGATTTCTTTATATAAATTCTTTTTTTTTTTTTTTGTTAAGCTTTTATATATCATCGACGCATGTCGATGATTGGACGATTAAACGAGTTTGACGACTTGTCCAATCGTTGTAGACCTTTAGCAAGAAGAGTTCTTTTTTGTACGTAATAAATTCGTAATTGAATAATACACATTGTTTTATGTAATGATCTCAAGTTATATAAGGTAAGAGACGGGGTCGCTGATTGGTTGATTGGATTCTGCAATGAGCTTGAGCGATTGACCAATCAGCATTAGCAATTTTCTGTTTGAAATTTTACAGGATGCTACAGGTCCTCAGTTCGAAATCTGGTTCGCGACGTAAGAGAATTATTGCTATATGCGAGTGTAAAAAAAAAAATATATATGCAATTGTTTATCGACATTTTATATTATTAAAAATAAATATTGAAAACGTCGTGTTGTGAAATATTTGGTGAAAGAAGTGAAAATTGTGGATCGAAAACATCAACGCGATATGAATGATAACATTTTTCGAAGATTAAGGAAGAAGGAGGTATTATAATAAGTTCCATTCGAATTTTTATATTAAATACATATGTTATTTACACGGTTAGTAAATATCATTGATTGTTATCCAATGGATGTGTGTGTGTATATATATATAATTATAGTAACAATTTTATGAATATGAGAAATTTATATTTCTTAAATCGTAGTAATTTCATCGCTAAACGATCGAGAATCAATCGATTTTGTTAACAGATAGTACAATATGTCATTTGTTAATATTGTATTATCTATATACTCGTACTCTGTTAACTCATACTGTTGTATGTTATAATTAATTATATTTCGTGATGGTTCCCCCTTTTTAGAAATTTTCTATATTCGAGTAGAGGTCATAACATGGAACATACAGTAAATTTATATTTTATGATCGAGATCTTGCACTAATAAACAGACAAGTTATGAAAGGAAAATTCGGTACGGGAGAACATTTGGAAACGATTCATCTACCGATTACATTTTCCGACTAGCTGCATATTTTATGACTTTGATTTTATGAATGGGCCTTGGTTTATTATTAGAAAATATTCCATCGTCTATGATAGAGTAAATGTATAGGTGAGTGTGGAGTTTAAGTATTTCTTACAAACTTTTTTAACTCAACTTTCGTCAAATTATTATAAAAAAGTTTAAGTATTCATAGGAATAATCTGATATTCACTTTACAAAATTTGATCGATATCCTTTAATTATCTTATAGATTTTAAAGATGTCGATAAGAGAGAGAAAAAAAAAGAGAAAGAGAGAAAGAAAAAGAGATAAATAATTTCATATTGTTTTATACTGTAATTTCTAATCTTTGCATTATTTATTTATATTGTTGCGTAGAAAAACATTAATTAGGTACTCGAAGTAGCGTAGATAAAACAATTTAATTGTAGATGGCACCATTAGTTCATTTTATTCTATGTATATTATAGGACATTAAATCATCGATGGTAAAGTTTATTAATTGATCAATGACGTCGGTAAGTCAGAATATTACGAATCTGTCGGTATCGTATAAATCTATAGATTTCTTTGATGATAAATTAGGAAATTATTCTTCAAATTTTTTTTCTTAAATATTTCAATAATAAATATTCGTGATAAATGAGTAAACAAACGTTCGTTCTCATTTTATCTCATTTTATTACTTATGAATATATTATTTTTTAATATTGTTTACGTTGTAATTAAAGTGTACTAATCAGGAATACAAACACATCATAATATGATGAGTAGAAATTTGAAACGCAAGAATTTTCCTCTTTGATGCACTCCTCTTTTTCGAGTTATTTGCCATCCGGAGAGAAATATAATTTTATAAATGAGATTTCGAACGTAATAATAAATACCATCTTTGTTCATAGTACATAGTAAATATTTAATTTCTTTGTGAATACAAATAAAAAAAGAGTATTTTAAATAATATAGAATACACACGAAATCTTTTGAAATGGACATAGTTTAAGGAACTGTAAGAACGTGTATTATCTTATTAAAGAGTCGAAACAAAAAGATGAACAAAAAATAACAAAACTAATGAAAGGAACATTTACAATTAAATTTCTGAAACGCTTTTTTCTCTCACGAGGGTGATTTTTTTCTCTTTCGTTATGTTTAGTCTGATAGAGTTACGAAAGGAGTTATAAAGATTTTTATTGTCGGCACTGCTTTTAAGTTCATGTTTGATTATATTGTACGTTCGTTATATTCGAATTTATTCGAAAGTGAATAAAAAATATTTTACATTCGATAGCACAGTTAAAGTATATATATTTCTTTTTCAACGGTTAAAAAAGGATGAATTTTATTAATTAATATTCGTTTGAATGCATAATTTTGCGCGTTAAAAAATTTTTTATTTTACAAGAAAGTACCCAAGTTTATTTTCATCTCATATTTTTGTCTAATCCCAACTGTGTACTTTACCTTTAGATATATAGAACGTTTCGCGTTATTGCGTCCCATTAAGACTGTAAAAAGGTCATGACAAAGTTCCGTGCAAGTACGACATTCGTAAGGAAAATCGTTCTGCCTATTATAAAAAGAAATCAAATTCTGTACGAATGCGTTTTATCTAAATTGATTTCTTCTATGGAGAAGACTGAATCTGTCTGTTTTTTCTTTTTTCTTCTTTTTTCTTCTTTTTTTGGAATTTCGAACGGTCACGGTCATTCTCTAAAAATAAATAAAATGGCATTGCGTGTCGAAGGTAATATAAAACGAAATCTTACTATTTACTTTCCTTTTTCTCGACTTCATCTTCTTTCAGCAAACACAATCAAAGAAAATGGTTTCATAGCATATGCGTCTTGTATTACTGATTTAATTTCCACTTTTGTTATCTATATTTTTTACCCTCTTTTCTTTATGATTAAAGACATACTTTAAGTATCATAATGGAAATCATTATTGAAATATTCTAATTCAATATTAAACAATAGATGTTTAAACATAAAGTTATAATTACATTTGAAAAATATCATAAGAACATGTCATCCATGAAAAAAAAACAAAATGTCATTGTTTTCTTTTTCAGTTCTGTTTATTTAGTCAATATTTTTATTAATTAATAGTAAGTATTTTGTAAAATAAACGGTCAATACACACACACACACATATGAATATCTATCAATGCGCGCGCACATGAATATTTTGATCAAATAATTAAGTAAAATAATTAAGTATCAGAATTACATCATTTACATTACATACTGATATTTCATTATATATAAGTACTGATCATTTATTTAGAATACTGATCAAATGTTTAAAAATACTGACCCCATAAATAGCAGCCCTTCTTTTTCTCTACATTTTTCTTTCCATATCTTTTTTTCTTCTTCCCTTTTATTTTAAATTAAACTCATATTTTAAAGTACAAGAAATAAAGTTGTTATGTAACATTAGATTTTCAAGAAAAGAAAAATAAACGGAAGAAGAAAAAGAAGAAATAGAAACGGAAAAAAGAAAAAGGAAAAGAAATAGAAACGAAAAAATAAAAAGAAAAAAAGTTTATATTTTTTGGAAGTCATCGAATATACGATACTTATCTTTTACGGAAACGAAAAATGTAAGAATATATTTAACAAGAGGAATTCCATTTCGTGATAGTTTAAATTGGATTTACCAGAATAAACTCAGACGGTAAAAAATCAAGGAAGAGTTTATATTTCAAGATGCAATTTCAAATGTTTGCCATACTAAACTTTACAAAACTTTCTTCGTAAAACTATTAAATACGAACGTGGTTTTATAGTGACCAATATGTTATATGTCATATGATAATAGGACTGTAAATATCAATATCAAAATTATCAAAAGTAAATCGTAAACCTTTTTATGTGATTAATTTCTTTAGATTTCGTATATAATATAAATGTCTTTATCCAAATATATTTATTCGTTATCTCGCGTGTGCATAAAAAGTGTTAGTCAATTTATCGTCAATCTAATAATTCTACCGCTATCCCAATCACAAACCTCAATCTTTTTATGAGCGTGTATCGTACGTAGAAAATTTTTTTAACTTGAAAAAAGCTAGAGGGCTGTTTTACGAGAAAAAGAAAAAAAAGAGAGAGAAAAAGAGAAAAACGTTATTATCCTTTGTGAATTGTTACTTATCTCTTTTAGAAAAGAATATATTCGTTGTACTCTTCCTCCTCCTCTTATTTTTTTTCTCCCTTTTGGCGTTGACAAAGACTCGTCCTCAGGATTGCGTGTATATGCCATGTATACATCTCATGTATACGAATATAGCTATGAACGATCTTTGAGAGGAAAAAATTTCAAAAACTGACGTGGAAAATATTTCAAAAGGAACTATAATACTGGGAGAGGGGAGAATAGGGATATTTATAAATAAAAATAAATATAGGAGAAGAGGGAAGGAAGGTAGAGGAAGTTCTTTATTATTTTATTCAAAGAATTCGTAAAATTTCAAGATAAAGGTATAAATCATTCGAACATAATAATCGTTACCGATAAAACGTATTTCATGTCTATGTTTGTATAATTGAATACCTTTGACGTATTATCTAAGGAAAGAAATGACTTTCAAAAAGGAAATCATTTGTATCCTGATAAACGACTTCTCACTTTTTCGCTCTAATGTTTAAAACATTTGTTTTCGGAACGAGTAAAAAATACCGTATTTAACAGCGCACCACCATTGCATTAATCTTCCTGGCTGGTAGGGTTGAACTTTCGCCGTGATAAAAAAGAAGAAAAGAAAATGTAAAAGAAAGGAAAAGAAACTAAGATAATCGCTTCGATAAAATCATTCTCCTTTTTAATCATTCAATAGATAGTTTTAGTTCATTTAGTCGATCGTTGAAATCAAGATGATTACAAGATATGCTTGGACAAGATTCTACACGTTAATATCTTGTAAATGTTTTCCATTAAACACTCAATCGTGTATACATAGATGCATCGCGATATACAGATCTCGGACATTAGCAAATGGTAAGGGCACGTTATGAACATGTTGACACATGACAGTATATTGCTACTCATTCATACATGCCCTTCTGTTCTATCGCAAAACGGTGTATCAAACGTTAAAGAGAATATAACTATATATATATATGTATATAGCGTGCACACATAATCTGAACCACTCTAAGTTTGAGTACAATCCCATTTCAATCGGATATATATATATATATATATATATATATATATATATATATATGAGAAATTCAAATGTCTTCTGTGATTTACGTTGGGTATCGAACTTCAATCGAATTGATTTCGACTGTTTCGTAGAAATTTCTAAGCACTCATATATAACATAGTGTCTATGCCTTATAAAGGTTAAGTTATATGTTGAGATTGACCGATGATGGATTTACAACGTTGACATCGATTTACGGATATTAAAATTTTAACGATTAAATTATTTATGCGACCGTCGTAATATTATACAGACGTGTAGCTATAAAAAATTGTTCTCTTATTCTTCTGTCTTTTTATGCAAAGGAAAAGATCATGGGAGAA